ATGAATGGCTTCTGTGACTGCTTGAGCTGGGTGGTGAGGCCTTCGCATACCTCTACCAACTTTCCGCTGCACAGTGCTTAGAAGGATGAAAGTGGACCAGGACTTCCTAGAATTCTGGATGCTGCAGTGGATCAACTCCCACACTTGGCATTGACTGCATTGCAAAGCAATTTATTCAGTACGTTTGCCACATGACCACCCTCACCTGAGCAATGTGGCGGTTATCAATGTAGGCTTCAGCCGAGACCCAGGTGGGTGAAGGACACTTTCACCGTGCATCGGCCAGCACGACGTCTTTGCGAGGGGCGTTCAAAGCCGTGACCCAGATGCACGTGTTTGGAGAGCCAATTGGGGTGGCGAACATATGCGAACATGTTTCGCACATATTTGGAGAAGCATTTAGCCGAACGTGCACCGAACATATGCGAACATACTGCGAATGTGGATATGCACCCACACGCCTTCTCCGAACAGCTTCATTGTTCTATCACATGGATCATTGCCTCAACTGTTCTCACTACTATGTGCACGGGATGTGTCTTGCGTGTCTACCACTCAGCATCTCCCACCCACACTCTTCTGTTCCGACTTGTCAATTTAAGTCTGCCAAATTCGTTGAGAAGAGGCTTCCACTGAGCTGAACTTTCCGAAAAGCGAGGTCACCAGCACGATCACGGCATCCCGCACGGTATCGCGGTCCAAGAAAGAGGCACCACGGAACTCTAGACATTGCGAACAAGTCTTAGTGTAGCTTTGAGCTTAGATGCAGCTTGATGGTTTGGCATGGCGCTATGCAGCATTGCGCCGGCAGGTTGAAGAAGAGGCTAGAGAGAGCAGCCCAGAGAATGGTGAAAAGAGGAAGAAAAAGAAGAAGGCTCGGTGCATGAGGGTGTGCATGCAGACTTGCATGCGAGTGCTGCACGTGGGTCCTCACAGGAACGTGTGGAGAAGGCAAAGACATTCGAGCTGCGGAACGTCATCTTCGATCTCGATGATGCCACAGAGATGGGCAAGCGTGACATCAAGGCACCGTGATGTTCGTTCGGTCTCACGCGCCCGATGCTGGTTCGTTTTTGGATGTTTTTGGTTTATATTTGGGCCAATTCATTTGGGAATTTGGGAAGTGTGTTGGATGTGAGTTGGACCAGGCCAACAGAATCTGGTACGAGTTCGATGGGAGCTGCTTGGCACAAGCATCATTATCCGGTCCCAGGTCCAAGCATTCTCACAGAACAGTTTCCAGCTCGTCAGTATTGGGAACCAGTCTTGGAGTTTTGTTTTGGGCAGAGAATGACATGTGGCTGGAGGCAATTTTCACTCAAAGTGCCTTTGCTTGAAATTTAGATGTGCCTTACTTCTTGCGTCCACTGGTGCCATACCTTTAGCTACCGCTATCAACAGTTGTAGATGCAGTGGCCACCTGTGCAAATCAAGGGGCGTCTTGGAATTCAGCTGAGGAGTGAGGAGACGCTTGTGTGCGTGCGGAGAAATCCCTTTACCAAAGGGGGGATGAGACATTGCTTCGAGATTGCAATGAGCGCTCTTGCATACAACATGCTCCCATCCTGCAAGCCCAGCAGTGCATCGTGTCCAGGTTATGGTATGCGTGATTTCGGCATCTTGACAAGCAGCTAGTAGCCGCTGGGAGCTGGTCTAGCCAGAGGGGATGTAACCGCGCTGCATTTTGCACCGTTTGCTTGGTTTACATGCAATGCCGGACCCCTTCTCTACAGACAGCACGCAGGACAAGCATGCATGCGCCCATGAGCATCCCTTCAAGCTGTAGATTCCGTGTATGCATACTGTGACAGTACAGAAAGACACCCATGAAGTTCAGTTCAAGCCATAGGACAGTGCAAAGAGATGTGTGTTCGGTTTGGATTTCCCTTTGCAAGCTTTTGATCCACTTTGGGTCATGTCACTGAGATATGTTCAGCATTCCAGTCCAAGGCCTTGACAAGCAGGCAGAAAGAAAGAAACGCACGAACATGGTCGCAAAGATGAGCAAGTTCGTGGAGCAGGGTGATGTGGATCCTTTGATTCTTGGATATTCGGATATCAGATGTTCGGTGGAGATTCTGTACTTCGCCGTAGCCCAACGGAGATGGGCGACCGTAGCAGGTATGGCAAGTGTCATGACCGAACCGAACAGTTGCCAAGGACGACCGTTGACATCTATGCGAAGCAAACTGCGGCTCCTTGGACTTGGTTTTGTTTTTTTCCTTCCATTCCTTTCCTACTGTGGGTTACGTTATATATATATATATAGTATAATGCATATTGTGCATTTCTTGAAAGAGGGGCTGAGACTGGAGAAGAGGAAGAAACTTGTAGCTTAAGTAAGCTACGCATGCAGAAGTTTCAGAAGAATCTATTTTTTGTGGGAACCTACCCTTCAGGTTGCACACTACTATGCCAAGTACTTCCGAAGGGAGTGCCGGAAGTGTGCTGGCCTCGACGTGGCATTGGACTTCGTGCCTTGGCCAGAAAATAGGCATAGGCAGGCCATGGCAGGCCTCGAAATTTTAAGATCCCTGTGTGTGGCGCGTCCATGGTACCTGTTCCAGTGTTCCATAAGTTTTAACCATCTCTCTTTCCCGAACAAGTGACGCAAGGTGCCATGCTACGCATACCGACCCATCTCGGCAGAAGATGAAGAAGAGCTCGAAGGCTTCTGCCTGCTGCCCAGGATTCGGTAGGATTGCTGAATCCTTCCATGGCCAACGACCTCCATTTCATGCTGAGGTGGCGAGCAATATGTGCCTGGAGAGTTTGTCAAGAGCCTTGGCCCATTTGGAATCAGAGCTGGACTGGCTGTTTCAGAGTTCTCACCCATGTAGGGTTCAAAAGCGGAGGGTGGGGACTTCAACTTAAAGTCACGGGTCCCTTTCAATCAAACGACAGCCCAAAGGCTCACGTCGAACGCGGGCTTTGTGAACCGTGAAGAGCTACTTGCTTGCAGAGCCGTGACGCTGTTTGAGCGCATCCGTTTACAACGAGATGTAGCCGTTTCAGGTGATACACGCTGAAAGCCTCATTGGGAACAATTGAATGTAAGTCGATGAAAGTCTCGCAACAAGATTCTTTTCAGACCATGCCAAAAAAACCATGGCCGTAGTTGGTGTGGTTGTGGTGCAAGTGCGCAGGCAGGTGTGCAGGAACTTACACTGGACCCAGGTACGGGGCTCATGCAAACATTGGTGCGGCGTTCTCGCATTCAACCTTTGAGTGGAGCAGGGGTAGCTCGAATGCAACGCAGCGACCCGTGTGCTCAAAAAGGTTTGTTCGTAGTTGTCCTGAAGCCTCAAGTGGCCGCAAGATGGTTCCATTGGGGGTCTTTCGATCAACTTTCTTTACAAGCTTCACCCAATCCACCAGGCTTGGCATGCACAGTACATGCATTTACTTTCCAGACTATCGCACTACATGCCACAGTGGGCCACACTGCCCTGTTCCAGTTCCACATCATGCTATCATTCTTAAGCAGTGGGGGCAGCAGAACAGACTACAGAGCAACTGTTTTGCTACTTACAGTCGCTGGACAGCTTTGGATTTGGAAAGCCCTTGCGCCACAATAAATCAGGTGCTCTGCTTGTGGCTGATATCCAGGGCGTTTGTACTGGGCGACGCGATGATGGTCGCAGTGGAAAGCGAGGGACCCAGGCGACATGTGGATGTGGCTCATAAAAATGTCCAGCCACCCGCGGGTCTCAGTCTTTCTTATCCATGTAGAAGTGGATTTGGATGGGCCATGTGTCAGCTACCAGTCCATCATTTTTGCACGTTTGGATTGTCCGGAGTGCATTTGATTTACTGACCAAGGCATGGCCCATGCGAGGAGGACCAGAATCGGGAGTGGCTCCTGAGTGACCCGCAGGCGCTCTCCGTCCCAGCACGGCAGAATTCGTCAAGCCACGTAACAAGAAGCTACTAGGAACAGGTGCCACGCTAGTAGTAACAGGTGCCTTACTAGTAGTAACAAGAAGCTATTAGAATTAAAGCTTTTGTGTTACTACTAGTAAGGCACTGGTTACTACTAGCGTGGCACCTGTTACTAGTAGTAACAAGAAGCTACAGTACAAAATTCTTGGTGTGCCGTTCGCTGCCACACGCGGGCCGATGGGTCTGAAAGTGTGCATCAGGTGCTGACCGATGGGGCCAGCTATGACTTTGGGAGAGGCGATTTGGGCTTGAAAGGCTGGCCACCTCTTGTTTTTGAGGGAAGTTCCCAACCGGCTACCGTTTCATCTCTTTGACTTTGGTGTGCCAAATTGCAGACAACCCTGTCCACTTACATACGTTTGGCTCCTGCGCCAGGCATGCAGATGTTCTTCAAGACTCACAAGTGTGGCTGGCTTTGCAAGAAGCTGGGCCTCAAAGATATTGGAGAATACAAGGAACCAACGCTGAGATGTTACATCCCAGGCCGGACCACTGTACGTGCATATTTTTACCAGAAATGCACCGGCCTTCGTCGAAGTTGGCGAGGTAGTACAAATGTTCTTGCTGGTTTGCACGGCAAAGAGGCAACGGATGGTTGGATCATGTTGGATCATGAAATGTGCGTCACCACTGGTTTGGCAAGCTTCATGTCTTCGATATGCTCATTGCATTGCCGTGAACAGGGCGGCGTCGTCAAGCAGATCCGCCAAGAGTCCGGATGCTCTCGCTTGTTGATTCCGCGAGAGGCGCGTAGGTTTCACGGGGTTTGGGCCACGTTGCCGGGGGTGGTTTCAGCATCCTGCGAAAAAGAAGTGGTGGTCAGGCCTATGGCGAGTGGATCGCGGTAGCAATCTTTGCGACATCTAAATCCAAGGCAGGGCGCCGCATCTGTCGGCCGTCGAGCAGGAATGGTTGCAAAGTGGCTGACATCCGTGGCAGGCCAACCATGCCATTCAGTTGATCAAGAAGAGGGTGGATTTGCTCATTGACAGGCGCGAAATGGCGCAACGGCGCAACGCTTTTTCACGGTTGTGCCGCATGGTGTTCGGATGTGTTTGCGGCTGTAGGTTCATTTGATGTTTTGATTCACGGGTGGAGGTTCGGTCGATTGTTTGAGTGGCCGGGGCCGCGAAGCTTGAATTGAACCCGACTGATCGTGGCTCAAGCTATTGCAAAACCTAGCCTAAGGTGTGCCACCAGCACATTATGGCGCGCGGTCTTGCCCTTTTAACGTGTGGGGTGGGCTTGGCGCTTTTTGCGCCGGCCTTTACGCCCAGTTTGCCGCGCTCTGGGCTCTCTGCAATGCCAAAGGCTGGGCCTCGCAGAGAGAGCCTGACACAGCGAGCCGCAGATGGTTCCGGATTGAAGCCATTTGGACCAGTGGTGGCCTACGCCAAGGCGAGCATGGTCTTGGTTGCGAGGCACACAAAAGCATTAACAAAACTGGGAAGGCTGTGCATTCTCGTATTTTCCTATTGCAAACTTTACTTAGGACCCATGGTATTTTAGCGAGAACTGGTGCCACCTGGAAGGCGCTTATGGATGCGGCGATTGAGAAGAAAGAGATCGTTCTTGTCACCGATGATGTGCTGAAGATCAAGGATCAATTCCTTGAGGCCTTGGCAAGCTCGTGCTGTAAGCTCGGTTTTGTTAGGTTTTGCTCTCAGAGATATCTATGCTCGGCATAGATGTGAGAGATAAAAGAACACCGCCGCTTTGCTTTCAGGAGGAGTGGCTGGAGAAGCTCCTGCTGATACAGAGCAACCCAAAGTTTTCTGCACTGCAAAAGGCAACGGAGACCGTCAAGATTTTGCCGAAGCTCAAGTCAACCGTGATGCCGAAGTTCATTGACCCTTGCTTGACAGACAGCCATACAAATTGTGGTTTCTAGACATGCTTAGGTACTTGGTTTCTTGTTTTCTCCGTTGAAGCATTACTTGTAGACGCATCCGTGCCCGCCACAAGGTATTTCTGGCGAAGAAGAATCGCCTTCGTGGTCTGAAAAGAATCTGCCTTGAGTACGTTCAGAGTATGTACTTTAATCAGTCAATCACACCAGTCACGGTGAAAGTTGCTCAACGCCTAACAGAGCAGCAGATGGAGAAGATCAAAGAGAAGATGAAGAAAAAGGCAGGCACCAGGGACATCAAGTTGGTCGTGGAAGTGGATCCCAGCCTCATCGGAGGGCTGCAGCTTGAGTGGGGCTATACTGACCCCCAGAATCGCTACGCACCATCATATGGTGTTGACTTGTCACTGAAGAACATTTTGGAGAAAAGAGCCCTTCAGAAAGGAGTGGTGACGGCAGCTTGATGGATTCATTTTTCGAACATGAGCGCTGTTAGCGCTGTATCTGTAGAACGAATTCCATAGCACATTGTTTTCTTCTGGGTCGAGTTTTTGCAGCCGTGTGCGGACTGCGCGGTTCTCGGCACAGTTGAAACAACTGATGCCAGATTTTTGGAGCCGCGGGCTCCGAACGAATGCACTCGTGCACTCGAAACAGCGCTGCACAAGAGTCTTAGGCCTAGAGTCTAAGGTCTGTCCGGCCGCTTAGCCTCAGCAGCACTGATGAGCCTTTCTTTCGCAATTGTTTGCACTGTAAGTCACTCACAGGCCTTGGAAAGCACTCTTGTGGGTGGTAGGTCGTAGTAGCATGGGATGGTAATTAGTGAGAGTGAAGCCAAGAACGATAGCAAGCAATTCTCAATAAGACTTTCGAACCAGCCTTGCTCGCTCTCGGTCTTCCCGGCAGTTACGGCGTGGTCGTTCAAGTTCCTGCCACGTCGGTGGCCACTTCCTGGTAGCTTGGTTTGGTGGACGGGAGGTGCAACGGGTTTGTGACGAGAGCTACGAAACCAGTGACTTGTGGCCCAACTGGAACAGAACCCGATCGAGACGGGAGAGTTCCACCCAGCCAAAGAACTGGAACATGATGTTTGACCTGGAGTCCTGTCAAACGAAAGCTGGGCCGCTGGTTCGTCATAGAGTCATAGGATGTCGTAGGTGCTTCAGCTGCAGTGGCTCATATTGCATGAATTTGGAATTCCTTCTTCCTGTGTTGTCAACCCTGAATCAAGGTGCTCTCGCGTCCCAGGTGATGGATCCGGGCAAGATCCACAATTCACCAACTGATTCACACAGATCGCTTCGGCGGGTCCTCACTCCCTTCATGGGACATTTGCCTCACACAGCCTGCCAGTCGCTTTTGTTCCAGTTTTGTTGCCATAAGGAATGCCGCTTATTGGCGGTCCAAACGCGTGGAATGGATCGAGAAGAGTGGCGGTGCTGAGATTGCTTTATACCGAGGAGGCACGACTCCCGTTCAATACCTGTCCTGCTGCATTGCACAGGAGGGTATGCATCCCCCATGCGTCGCACCGGGTTCAATCCCCGGGTGCAACACAAGGGGGTGAGCGAGGGTGTAGACCGTTAAAGACAAACCATTGATAACCATTGCATGTATACTGTATGGCGCATTCCTTTAGTAGGAGGATCTACCACTAGAGGTGGTGCATGCACTAAGGCGGTTTGTGGTGTGGCTTTGCTCTAGTGGGGTGCTTTTGCTCAGGTGTCAGAAGCGCGTCAGTTGCCATCCCCTCGTACCCGAAGCTCATAGGTGATTTCTTTGAACCCTACCATTATCCTCATGTTTATGGCGACGTGCTGTTCTGGCAAGCCAGGCTGGATGAGTGACGAGCCCAAAGAAGATGGCATCGTGGTGAGCATCTACATTTTTCCCAAAATGGTTGAGCGTGGGAGACTTTTCTGGATTTGCTTCAGCAGCGTGCTGCGGAGTGTTCAATTGAACCTTGAAGGGATGAGATTGCTAAGGAAGGGCCAAGTGCACGTGGTATTCAAAGAGCGAGACTTTGCCAAGGCGATTGGATGTGAGCTTGGAAAATGGGCCTTTTCACATCCCCCTACACCGTCTAAACTTGGGTATGCACAGCAAGTACTGCAAATTGCTTTCCTTGAGCTGAAGGAATGCAACGGGTACGCGAAAATTTGAGGTGCTTGGTGGCGTTTTCTCCCAGTGCGAGATTAAGCGAGCCAATTGAAACATCCATTAATTAAGAGAGTTCGAAGGAGGAACCCGCGGCTGACACAGTGGGACTTGGGATGGGCCAAAAGGGTGTTAGTCTTTCTCCGGAGCTGTGCCAGGATCTCATTCGAAAAGATGTGCTTGGCGAAGAGCCGCAGGACATGGGGGCCAAGCACCGGGACCGGAGAGAAGGGACCGGTGTTTTCAGCGCCTTTCCTTGAAAATGATGTTGGGAGCACTTTGGAACCATAGCGGAACCTGAGCTTGCAAAGTATACTTGAAACTTTAGAGTGTCAGAACAATCAGGGTTATTTTCAGCTTGCATGTTGGCAGGCAAGAGCAATGGTCAGTGAGCCTCAAGACCGCAAGGTCATTGCCAAGCGGATTCAGGAGACACATGCATTGATTTGTGTCAGCAAAGATCGCAGCAGTTGAGAATGCGTTTCCTCACCACAGTTCAACTAAACTGACCTCAAGATATTTGCGATTCGTTTGGATCTTTCTCCATTGTGGACAGCCTCATCCTTTCCAACTGGCTCCGTGACTCACGTGACCAATAGCGAGGAATTTGTTCGCAAGAGTGGTGGACGCATCGAGCTGGCGACAGTGACTTGGCCACTGTCTTTAGTGACCTTGCTGAAGTGCTTGTTTAAGAGCTGCACGCAGCTAGATGGACTGGACAGAGAGAGACAGAGGGATAAACAGAGCACGCCTGCTGCGTGCGCGCCTTGGCAAGGCCGCACGCATCAACCATGCCAAGAAATTGATTTCCCAAGGTCGCGAAGCAATTTGCAAAGGACATCGGAGGGGAGCGAAATGCACTTGAAATGGACAGCTACTTGAAAACGCTGGCGCCTCCGCGGCAATGCGGAAGACTCGGAAAACTCCCGTTGGTGGGGTTCTCCACCAGTGGCACCAAGACGGGTTTAGATATCCAAGAGGCTGGCAGGGTATCTGAGAGAAATGTGTGGGCTCTAGAAGTTAGAGCTTTCGGCACTGTGGGTCCAGTGGCAAACGATACTTTTGATTTGCTGCTGTTGGGCGCCATTTGGTGGATGCGTTTGGCGCAAACAATAGTGAGTAAATGCTATCTGGCTGGCGCTCATTTGAATGCACTTTTCCGTGCCAAACTGTCAAGGTTTGTCGGGTGAATTGTGGCTGTTCATGCTCAGGTGACTCAGGTGACTAAAGTTTAAAGGGTTTGACTGCTAAGGTGCTTGAACATCACGATTTGCTGAGCTACCACAACCAAATGGTTCTCATGGCGGCTCCAAAAGCACCAGCACAGCCTCCACCAGTCGCGGAGGTAAACAGCGTTACGTCCACGCGAGACTTTGCCTGGCTGGATCAAACTACTTGGAAGGACCCCTCTCTCAGATGATGCTTTTACAGAGTGTGAGATGTTCACACAAACTTTTGCCATGGTTCCAGGAAGCGTCTTTCCATGCAAAGTACCAGATCAGTCGGCATTTCGGACGACCAGGCCAGCAACAGAGCTAGCAGGATCATGCAAGCCATAAACAATACATTATGTATATTCTTCTATTAAGTAGGATGCAACCGGGCACAATTTTTCACGTGAAAATGAGAAACTAAGCCTTTGGACCCAAAGAGGCCGACCTGGTGGAGATTTCATCGTCACGAAGATTCAGGGATCGGCTCAAAAGTATAGCATTTCTTTGCATTTCGATGATGCAACCAAGAAGCTCTGGTATGGTGCCTCGTCAGAAAAATGGGTCCTAAACCAGAAGCGGACAACACCGACAAAGTTTCTTCCCATCGGATATCGGCTTCCAAGTTCATGGACGGAATGGCAGCTGAAAAGACAAGGAAGGATGCCAGGAAGCCAGCGCCGTTCTTGGCCCACCAACACTGGACAGCAGACAGGTTACTGTAGCCAATACACCATTAGAGCAACCGCCCAAACCTCCAAACTTGAGGAATGGGAATCGATCCTGCAAAAGCAACTCGTTAACAAAACACGTCAAAAATTGTTTCGGAGATGAGATGGCCTCAATTGTGCCTCATCTTGAAATGTATAAGGACAGCAACGGACCTTTTCGAACCCGCCTTGCAAGGCAGGATTTCAACCTCCAAACACTATATTTAAGTACAATTAAGTAGACATCTCCAAAATAGCTTGGCTCCATCTAGCCCCAAGTCCCCAAATGATGCCCGCAGGTACACAGGAGACCGGGTGACCAGTTGCCCACTTTAGTTGCCCCCCTTGGTTTCCTGATTCATTCTGGCAAAGCCAGTGGCAGTGGGTGTTTGCACTGCAGGCCCCCTGCTAAGGAGAGAAGAGGAAGTGGTATCTCTCAGCATTGTCGCCCAAAAGGCTGAGCTGGTCAGACAGACAGGACAATGTGGCCTATGTCTGGGAGTTGATCTCTGGAGCAAACCAGCCACCAACGAAGTTGGCACCGAAGGCTGTGCTGGGTTTGTTCCGACACCTCTCCGATTTTCAGACTCGTGTAGTTTCAGACGTCATTGCCTGCAGTCCTGTATCAAATCCTGCAACATGAATGTTGCCTGTACAATCATGAGCAATCCACCTTGTGGTGCAGGCTCCGAAGCAGACCCAAGAGGCAGGATACTGTATGGTGCTAGATGGCCTTGGAAATTAAGTACTTCAGCCATGCACGGCAGCCATTGAGTCTTGTACACTTCTTCAATCTTTATTTTATGCTGACCTGATATGACATGATCTCAGTATGGCTCAAACCTTGAATTTGCATGGCTCTACTTTGCCGCTTGCCTTGGTTGCAGACCTGCCGTTGGGGGACCGCCCAAACTGGCCGGTTGACTGGGTGTTGCATGACCACAGGAACAGAGAGCCGCCAAGGATGCACCGAGGTGTTTGCTTCAGCTCAAGCCAATTCACACAAGAGAACTCTTTAGGAGCGTCCTTCCTCCTACTGTAGTAGTACGGCCAAGAGCCCCTAGTAGCTTCTTGCTCCTAGTAGCAATGCCAGGAGCCCCTAGTAGCATCCTTGTTACTGCCAAGGTTATGTGGATTGGACCTGGGTGACCTCGGGCACCTGGATGGACCAAGCGCATTCAGTTTCACCAAAACCTGGAATGGTGCTCCTCAGTACGCCATTGTCGAAGACTTTGCTGGAAAGGATGTGGCACAGGAGTTCAGCATGGGTCAGCATACCAGATCAGGGCAGTTCCAACTTCCAGCATCATTCATCTCCCTGAAGCATCCTAAGTCCTAGGCCGATGCTCTGCTTTTGTGTTCCAAGTCAGCATGATGAGCAAGAAGACACAAATAGAAGGGACAAAAGGATCCCGGTTGATTTTCTTTCTAAAATGATGGGCCTTGAGGCCACTATAGAGCTACCATTTTGTAGTAAAATCCTTTTTTTTGTGGGTGGGAGCCTGCAACATGCATCCGAATTATCCCGAATTGCTTTCCATGTCTTCTTGTGGAAAGGACTTTTGTTGGCTCGCGG